ATAGAGCCCTGGGGAACACCTGCATTAATGCAAAAAAATCTAGAAGAGTGGCCATTCAAGACAACTTTCATTTCACAATTTGATAAGAAAGATTGAATCAGTTCAAAAATTTGTCCAGAAATACCATAACCTTTCAACTTGTGAAGAAGACCAGTATGCCAAACCCTGTCAAATGCCTTTGAGATATCCAAAGCAACAGCCCAAGCTTAACCATTCTTATCTAAAGCTTGATAGACTCTTTCAGCAATAATCATTAATACATCAGCAGTTGACCTAGAGAAGCAAAAGCCATATTGCTTATCTGAAAGAAGACCCTGCAAGGTGAGATGCTTAACCAATTCAGAGTTGATTAGAGCCTCTAGTACTTTTGCCAAAAAAGAAGTAGAAGGCTAATAGGCTAATAGGTTAGAAGGATCAGATGGTTTGCCCTGAGTTCTAAAAAACTGGAATTTCAGAAGAGGATTTCCAACAAGCAAGAAGCAGCAAGGCATTTATTGTAGAGTTTAGAGAGAACAGGAGCCAGTTCAGGAGCACATTTCTTAAGAACTATTGCAGGGATACCATCAAGTCCACATGCTTTGTGGGGATCCAGTTTAGAGATGATAGCAGAAACCATGGACAGAGTTATATGCATATCACTCAATAGAGACTCAGTTCTAAGTGGAAAGTCAGGCAAAGATATTCCAGATGAGTTAAGACTTTAACTGAAAGAGAATTTATGAACAAAACATTCTGCTTTATCAGCAGAAGATAACAATGCCCCAAATTAAGTGAAGAGGACGGATAGAAGACTTACACACTATTACAGAACCATCAGTAGTTATGAGAACCAAACTTGTTAGAGGCTATATAGTACCTCATTCTGTCAATAAACAAAGACTTAGCCTCTTTGAGGACATTTTACAATTATTATGAGACAGACACAAAGATGTCTGTTGTGATCAGAACTATCATGTTGGTACAGCCGGAAAAAAGTGATTTTTGTGGGCTATAGCAGATGAACTGGCAGGTGTGAACCAAAGAAAAGATTGTGGTTTCATCTGTTATTTTCAAGATGGTACAAAAGCATCAACATCAATTATCACCCAAGAAGAATCCTGAGTGGCACAATTCTTGATAGGAAGGTTAAAAATATCAATTCAAGGAGCATTGTGAAGAAAGTCATGAAATGAATCCCAATCAGCATGCAGGTAACAGAAAGAAGTCTTGTGAATAAGAGAGAAAAAAAAATGAAATATCAACAGATACTACAGCATGATCCAAATTGCCATAAGGACAGAATGGTGATGATTGATAAGAGCCAGAAGTGAAGGGAAGGAACAACTCAAGTCAAGGAGCATGTTGATTAAAATTATTAGGAAAAAGAGTAGGGAAATCAACTGAGTGACTGAGCAACGGAAAAATTGAAAGTCTAAATAACAGCAACATCAGTAACATTAGAATGATTGTCACTAGAAGTGATGAGCATTAAAATTACTAAACACAAAAACATCTGCAGATAAATGTAGAAAGAACCATTTCTATACTGTCAGATATTTTGTCTAATATGTTAAGAAGGAGAAGCAATAATGAAAATTGAGATAGACTGCAATAAAGAAAGTCAAAAGCACATGAATGAATCATATGGGAACTTAATAGACAATTCCCTTGCCACTAGAAGATTTTCCCAAATGTAAACACCAAGGCCATGCATATGTATCCTAGAATTTTTTCTACAAAGAGGAAGATAATCTGGAACAGAGAACTCATTGGTAGTGATAAAAGAATTTAAATTAGTTTTGCAAAGTGCTAAGATATCTGGAGAACGTTTTCAAAGAAAAGATTCCACATTACAGAAATTGGTATGAATACCATGAATATCGAAGAAAGAAACGTTGGAGATAAGTGAGATTTGATTACTGGTTTACTCTTTTAATCGTAACAGTCATAAAAATATTAAATTTTAAGGAGAAAAAAGCCAAAAACAATTATCACTATTGATACAAACCTAATGGTTGGTGGTTAAGACTAAAGCATAATTTGACCTACATGTGGAGACACCTATCCATGCATGACATGGCACTGCAAATATCCTGATATTGTGATTGTTGACCTGAGTAGCTTCTGTAAGCACTACCAAAGAGTTCAGGCTTCTTCCAGTTGGGATGCAGCAACCAGAAAACTGCCAACCTGGTAGCCTCATAATTAAGTTTCAGCTACTGATCAGTTAAATCACCAAAAAGTTAAGACAGTTAAATCATTAAGGCCATGCAAGGAAGGGACCAGTAAACCATATCCTAAACAAGGAAACAAGGGATAAAGCTCTACTCCTGTTCAATAAACATGGAAGTACTGTTTAGGTGATAGGAGAACTTATCTACCCCTATTGATCACAGGAAGCTTGTTGCTTTTATGGAGACACAATCTAAAGGAAGGTTGCTGAATAAGGTTAAGGGGGAATTACTAAACTATTAAAACCTCTCTGAAGTTTACCCCAAGAGTTGAAATCTAAGGAATATTAACATAAAATTAGATCACAAGAATAAAGTTAAAATTAATTAAAATTTAAATAAGAAAAAAAATATAAAAAAAGTGGATGCAAATTTACCATGAAAGAATCAGAGATCAGTGCACTTTCTATACATTTTTCCTGAGTAAATTACTTTAAAAAAATAAATTAGTATATTGCTTTAAAAAGTAAATTAGTATATTACTTTAAAAAGTACATTAGTATATTACTACAAACCCTACACAACTTCTGCAGAAAGACTCTGGCTTTGTTCCAGGCTACCAATTACAACTGAATAAAAAAAACGAAAAAAAATCACAGATTGGAAGAAATCAGTTGTACCAGTTTACATAGTGTCATGGGGTATTAAGAGGGAAGGTGCTGAATAATTTGCATATTGTTAATTTAGTGAGTAGAACATTCATTTTATGAACCTTTGATATAAAGTTGTTGTGTTACATAACTGTCTCTTACTTTGTTCCTTGTGGTGTGATCTCGCCAAAGCTGTCAGATCAGTGACATTGCATATATGACATGGCATTCACCCATCTTGTGATCTAAAACAAACACACGTGAGCAGGGTGGGATTGAGGATCGGGATAACCAACTCCAAGGCCGGCTGTAGGGATTGACCACAGACTTGCCTGATTATTCTGTGTGGGAAATAGTTGAACAAAAGACCAACAAAACTCCTTGTAACACCAAAGACGAGCTGAAGGCAAGGATTATGGTAGCATTCACCAACCTAAACAAGAAGAGTTGCAGTAGATTGCAAAGTCATCTGGAGACCATAATTGAAGCTAATGGCAATTTTATTGAATAAACTAGCCTAGAAGCCTCCCTTTGGCTGAACTTTAGGCTAACTCCTTTTACCTTCAGCACCTACGTACGTAAAATTTATAAGAATTTAGAAATAATGAAATTATTTTATCTTTATTTGGCACCTTAATTTGGTATAATCTTTCTTTATATACATTCTTTATGATCACTTCACATAAAAGTCACTCTTAAAAGTCATTAGGGAACTCAAACTATTTTCAAATATGTCACAGTACGTATGCTACGAAAAGAAAAAATATGAGCAATGTACCTTGCCCCACATAAGTTTTAATTATGACTTAATTAGAAGATATCAATTGCATCTGCGATGAGAAGTGAAATTAATGTTAAACCTTTAATAATTAATTTTTTTTAAAACCTTTCACTCTGTTTGATATTTAAATTTAACTTTAAATGAGTTATTTATTTAATTTTTAATCATGTGTTACTTCAGGTTTGTTGAGATCCAAAAACAGATGGACAGATGGACACATGTACACTGTGCTTTCTTTATATAGATTTACTCTTTAGTATTTCAAGATATTTGTTATGTTGTCTATTTCTCTACGAGTAGTATCAATTGTAGTACAGTTCTCTACGTTACGTTTAGCAAATGGGTTTGCTGACAATTGCCCATTGTTCACCCTCTGCTCTCTATTTATGTTGTCATTCTCATTTGCATATGATACTATAATATTTTTGTGTAATTTTGGTAAACATATCTGTTAAAATGAGATGCTAGTATTGTTTTCATTTTTGAATAATTCAGACGACAATTTATCAATTGCACCCTGTAGAGCAGTTAAGAAACACAATCTGCAGAGCTAGTTTGGTATTCAAGGACAGGATTTTGTGTTTAAAGATTGCAATACATTTAAAGATTTAAGTATGTTTACTCTTGTTTTTATTTTTGTTTTAAAGTTTAAAACTGCTAAACACTTTTGGGAAGATGGCATGTGTTCCACAACATGCATGTATTGTCCAATTGAATGAAATAATTCAACAATTTTGATGAACATTTTACATTATGAAAAATTTATCAAATAACAAGGAATGAGGAGGATTGAATTAAAATTTATAGCTAAGTTTGGACAATACATGCACATCATAGAACATGTTAGTCAAATGAAAGACAGCTAATGAAAGTATATCAAATGATTAATTCATTACTTTATTACATGAAAACCAAATTTGTTTCAGAATTGTGAGTTCTTGATTCTCTCTGCAATTTTGTTACCACTGAAACTGTCTTCCTCCTGATATAATACTATGCTATGTTCACAATGCTAGAGAAAATAGCTTGACCTGCTCAACTCTGTGTGATAACAACATAATTTTCTGTGAGTAAACAAACTGAATACTATGTCCAATACTATGTACAATATCAACAATTAAAAATCAACAATGTCTGTTATTAATGCTATGCATGTCAAAATAATGCCAAAGTCTGCTATTTTTTTAAAAAAATCTCCAAAATAATGCTAATTAGAAAATAATGCCAGAGTGAGAACTGTGTATCTGTTCCTGAATTAAAATAGACAAATATAATGCTGAATAAGTCTGCTGCTTCTTGTGCTCAACATCTAGACAATTCAATCTCAATTAGTAAAAAATTTAAAGATATATTGGTAGAATTGTTTCACACAATACAAAAATCAGAATAAACAGAGTAAGAAGGCAAACTTGTTCTTACCTTGTCCAATGTCCAATGTACTGATCAGAGTAATATACAATGATGGGTAGTAGAGCAGAAAATGTCCAAATAAGGACAGTGGGCAAAAATTGGACCAGTAACTGATTCTGTTGGAATAAAAAGGAACTGAACAAAGGTTTGTTGATATTTTAAATCTAAATCAATTTTTTCATAAAACACTTCACAAAAAGATCCAGTTCAATAAACATTTCTTTTAATTTGTAAAACCTTTGTATTCAATAATAGTGGTTTTAAATATCTTAATCATTTATAACATTCTATAAACAGGCAAAAATCAAAATTTTAATTCTTCTCAAAGAAAGCCATGTTCTTCAGGAAGTTAAGCAATATTGTACTGGATGAAAGACTGTTTGGAAATTCTAATTACAGTGTAAAAAATTGAAATCCTTAAAACCTTAATTTCCTAGTAGCTAGCTAGAGAATCCAAACAAATTTTATGATTTAGAAAAAAATTCTATGAAATATAAAACAAGGTTTGCCACAAGTCTGGTGACCCTGAACTTAAAGATTAAAGGAACAAGATTGTTCAGGATTTTTATTATCTAAGTAGTGATATTTGATTTTACTTTTTATCATGACAAAAATTATAAGCATAAATTGTGATTTATGCATTAAATATACTTACATGCAGATCAGCAAGTGCTTTTTGATAATTAATCTCATTAAGCTGGTTCATGATAATGGCAGGGGTAGTTAAAAAGAACAAGAGAATCAAAAGACAAGTGTTGATCACAAATGCCCTTATCCACCATTTCCAAACTGAAATGGAAAGATTTTCCCTGAAAAATAAAATTCCAAACAGAATGATTTTAATAGGAATTGTAAAACTACATTACATTTTTAACTACATAATTTATAATGTTCAATTTATGTTTAGGTAAAAACAGTTTAAAAAAAAATCATCAATATGCATATAGGGTAATATCCTAAATAAGAAGCTTACAAAATATAATATTTATTTTTAATTACAAAATATCTTTCATTATTTGGACTGTTATCTTCATCTTCATTGCCATATTCACAAAGTTTCGGCAGTTGTACACCCTGGCCTTCTTCAGGTGATCGGAATTTTGAACCAAACCCTTTATTTTGTTCACCGGGGTACAGTGTTCTAGTTCCATGTACCACGTCTCTCCCGGATGTATCAGTTATTTCCCTTTAACTCAACACTCCAAGTTTGGTTTACCACTGGTTTGTGGCCTGATATTAATCTCACAACACTTTGGGCCTAGTCACTGGATCTAACCAACTTTTTGAAGATTTCAACACTTCACAGACACCTCTTCTAAGACCCCTCCCCCTCCCCCATAGAGGAGAACATGATTAAGAGCTTTATGTACACCGTCCCGTGTAGCTGTTGTAGGAGAAACAGGCTGCCCACTTAAGGTAAGACTGCAAGAACACTGTAAAGCAGTAACACAAGGGGCAATAGAAAAATCAGGTGTAGCTGACCACATATGGAGGGAAAAGGGTGATCACCGTCCCCTGTAGGATAGGAACCAGTAATAAGGAGTGCTAAAAAAAAGTAATGAATAACAACAAAAATTGCAATATAAGCTCTAGTAAAAAATGCAACAATAACAGAAACATTGCAATATGAGCACTAGTAAAAAATAGTTCCTGAGATATTAGGTTTATAAGTCTCAAAAGTTCATGCACAGATGTCCTCAAGGATACATGGCCAAATGGATAAAGATGTAGGTGAGATCCAGTGACTAGACCCAAAGAGTTGTGAGTTCAATACCAGGCCGCAGTGGTGAACCAAACTTGGAGAGTTGAGTTAAAGGGAAATAACTGAGACATTCAGAAAAGGCATGGCACATGGAACTAGAACAAGCAGACAAAATAAAGCATTTGGTCGAAATTCCAAATATCTGAAAAAGGCTGTCGTGTACATTGTGAATATGGCAATGAGGATAAAAGTCTGAATAATGTAAATCATATAAGTAATCATAATACCACATGTCAGAGATAAAGACAGATACAAAATATCTGGTTTTGTTTTTTATACAGTTTTAACTTGTAAAAAGTTTAAAGCATCTTTTCACATGTAAACACTCATTAGAAAGTAAAATCTTTATAGCAATTAAAGTAAAATGCTTCCAAAATTTAATTTTGTTTTCAATATTGTGTCAATAAAACTACATACTAGTGAAAAATATGTATATTTTAGAGTTAACTTTTAAAAAGTCAGGTTGAAAATCAAATACTATTGTAATTAATTTTATGTAGATTTGCACTGTAAAAATCAGAGTTTTTGTAATTAAAAAGACAGTAAATTTTTTTCTTGAGTGATGTCAATAAAAACAATTGGGGGAATTCTTGGAGTCCTACATACAAAGACTTTGTTTTACTTACCAGTGAATGTTGGTTGGTGATGGAGCATAGCGCACTTGCCAATAAGCAACATTGAGCTCTTGGCTAACAGATGAAGGTGTTGAATTGTGAACTCCTTTACAGATGGCTTGGAAGTCTAAATAAATTCTGAGCCAAAAAGAACATTACAAAAATATCAAAAATAAAAATATAACTAAAATTAAAAGGCCAAAAATATATTTGCATGAAAATATACAGCTCCCCATACATTTTATATACCCTAGAAATATCAAACTCAACATAATAATAATAAAATAATACTTTATTAATTTATCATTATTAATAATGGCAGTGAGTAGACAGCACAAGATTATAAATAAAGGATAAGCTCTAGGTGAAATTTGAACTATTTTTGCCTTCCATTCATGTTTTGTCTATTCTCTGCTGTAGACTGACAGTCTGTCTACTTTCAAAAAACAAAAAAAAAAATTATGAAAGCAAGTATTATTTGAAAATTAATAATAATGGCTGAAAAATCTACATCAAATCAAAAATTCAAATGATTTAGTAAAGTCTGAAAGATATGCACTTGCACTTAATCAGATATATGATCTCATAAATTTCTATTTTCACCATAACAACAAAATAAAATCTGGAATAATTATCAGATTCTATTTAAGAGCACTCAGAATTTGTAGCTCTCAATATTTAAATGAAGAAGAGAAATACATAGAAAATATTTTTAAGCTCCGTCAATATCTTAATTATTTCTTATTCAATGTGAAGCAAAAGTCTTGTAGAATATTTCAAAATAGAAGAGCAGACCATTTTGACAAACCCAATGAATCAAAATTATATTATTTTACCTACCAACTCTATCAACTACAACTGAAATGAATTCATCTAAACTTAACATAAAATTTGTTACAACTACTTCTAAAACAATAAAAATATTAATACAAAGCAAAATAAACTAAAACTTGAATTAACATGAGAAATATACAGGAGAAACCTTGAGGAATGTAAATAAAAGATTATATGAACCCAAAGCAAATCTTTTATAAAACAACACTCAAAGCATTAGTTGCTCTGACCACAATTTTGATTTTAAAAAATCTACTTTAATTAAAAAAGACAAAAGTGTATAGAAAGTGCTTTAATCACTAGATAATCCAAAAAAAATCCAAAGCAAATTTGGAACCAGGTTCTTACCTTTCACCTTTCTTGGCAGATCTATTATCACAATGTAGAGTACTTAATAACGACAGTTATAAAAACATACAAAAAAGAAACTAAATGAAATTGGATTGACTATATATGCAAACACATAAAAAAAATTACTTAAAATTAAAGGAGTTTAATTTAGTCAATTCATTTGAGGTTTACTATAACTCCTACAGCAGAATGCTAACAAAATGTTTTATTAATTACATACTGTAATCTATAAACATTTTGAGAAGTCTTTTCTTAATCAAATTTATTTTCATTTGCCTTTTTTTCTTGCTTATATTTGTAAATTCTTGAAGGGAAACAATAGTTTAGACACTCTTATCATGATTAATTTTAGAGTTCTTTTGTTAAACTCCTTTAAGTACTTACTGTCTGTTTATAATATTAGCGCAAGATATATAAAAATAGCTTTATATTAATTGGTAGGGTGGATAAAGAAAAAATCTTTTTAACTTACTTTTCTGCCATAAGGTCTGCTGATAAAGTAACAAAGGCCATTCCTAAAGGTCTTTGATATGCACGGACTTTTTCTGTCTCAACTTCATTTAATAATTTCTCTTCCTCCATAGAATAGAAATCAATGCTATCCACCTGCATAACAGAAACAAATCTTTACATTTTGGATAATTGTGAATTAAATTTTAAAGAAAATAATTAGTTTTTCAGACACAAAACATTAAGATTTATTTTTTCTGCACAAAGAAAAATTCTTCAAAGAATATACATTCTGTTCTTCCTTAAAGCTGTTCAAGCAGTTAATCTCATTCTTTTTACTCTTATGTTTTCTCTAATTACTCCTTCAGCTTAGATAAATGGATGATATTCATGGATCCAGAGTCTAAAAATAAGATGAATAAGTAGTTTTAAGTTTTCTTAATTTCTTTATATGAAGCATTGATATATCATACAAACTTAGATCACTTATACACTTTGTTATAAAAAAAGAGCATAATAAAAGTTAATTTTTTTAGACAACATACAGAGTGTGGTTTTAGGACATGTGCATATAGAAAATACAAAACATATAGGATTATAGTTCAAACCACTTTTCCTAAGAAAGAAGTAAAAGAAATAGTTTGTTATTTTTAAATTTGGGCAAAATGTCATGGGTAGTGATTGTGAGTATTGAACATATAAGTAGTACTCTCCAAAAGAACAACTGTCTGATGTATATAACATCCAGAATGGGGAATAGACAGAAATGAACTTCAAAGATAACAACTATGTTGTTACAATGCCTATCACATGTGAAAGGAGTGACTGAACAAATCTATTACAATTTTAAGAAGCCTTTCAATAGCACAACCTCCTTAGGTCTTCATAAAAGGAATGGATGACCAAAGATTGCAATCCTTTGGCTTCCTAAGGTTAAAATGAAATAAAGACAAAACTGTGAGAGGAAAATTCCTTGGAATCTCTGAGGATAAATGGGAATCATAAATCAAATTAATTACCTTAACTTGAGGAGTCAGTTTGTTTTATCTATATTAGAACCATTTGGTATTACAGGATTTTAAATCCCGGATTTTTTTTAGTTTATACATACATACATATATATGAAATGGATTAAATCAAACATATTTTTAATTTATTTGTTTAAATATTATTTTTAATGAATACTCATACTTTAATGGATACTAGAAATATGCACCCTCTGGAGGATGCATATTTTTCTAACAAGATTTCTCAAATATTCAGGCCAGTAGATGTAAATAAATAAATATACTGTTTAATAAATAAATAAAAACAGATAATCTACTCAAATATGAGTATTCATTAAAAATAACAATAAAACAAATAAATTAAAAATATGTCAGATTTAAATTTAAGTATCCCACACTGTGATAACAAGATCTGCCAAGAATCACAATGTGGGATATTTAATAACAAAGATGATGGAAACAAAAAGAAAAATTGTAGCCTCTGTCTTGTTTGTTGTCAAACTCCTCCTAGGGTTTTTGAGATAGATCCCCATAACTATATATATTCTGAAACTACATTACTCAGGGTACTTGGATGGATAAGTATGTTTCATTTTAGTCAAAGGGGGTCTCTGGGGGACACAAACCCGCCACTGAAAATTTTTTTCCCTTTGATATAAATAAAATTTAAATTTGAAGGGATTGACTCCTATCCAAAATATAGGAGAAAGCTAAAAGATGGAAGTCACATTGGCAAGATCAAAATGAGACAATATGGACATCAAGTTCAGCAAGAAATCACCAATCAGTGGGTAGTGCCTTACAATACATATTTGTTGCGGCAATTCAAATGTCATATCAATATTGAAATCTGCTCATCAATTCAGTCAATCAAGTATTGTTTGAAATACATATCAAAGGGGTCAGATCAAGCTGTTTTTGCACAAATCCCCCACTGAAAATTTTTTTTCCTTTTGATTTAAATTAAATTTAAACAAGGGAATGACTCCTATCCAAAATATAAAAGGAGAAAGCCAGATGGAAGTCACAATGGCAAGATCATTGAGTAATATTGAAATGCATCATTTTTCTCCACAAATTATAACAATGATTTAAAATCAATCATCATTTTCTGAAAAAAAAATGTGTGACAAGCAGCAATGTGCAGGTAATTTGTCTAATATATATATATCACTGTTTTTTAAAAATAAAAATAATTAATAAAACACTGGATTATAAATCTTACTGTTCTTTTCTTATTATTTTTATATATATATATATATATATATATATATATATATATATATATATATATATATATATATATATCTCAGTGGCGATTCAGTGTCAGGCTTGTTGAGCTTAGCCCAAGTGAGTCAATATTCAAGTATATCTATTTCAAAGCAACAAAAATCTTTCGTAGTGAGTTGTTTTCATTCTTGACTTCAGCTGGATCCAAAATTGTTTTAACTCCATGCCTCAAAATATTGAGAGAAATACATTTTGCTGAAATTGTTCATAATAAAGAAAGAAGAAAGAAAAAAAAACAAATAAAGAAAGTAAATAAAAAAAATGGAATAAAATTAACATGGTTAGTCGAACTGTGTAGATCTGAGACTTATCAGGCTGGAGACATAGTTAATAGGCAATGTATTTCTTGCTTTAATTTTATAAATAATCTTTTAAAAATTTCTAATGATTTGTATGCTCTGTTTTTCAAAGAATCCATTTTTATTTCAACTTATTGTTTTCAAATGTCCATTTTAAATAATTTATTCTGTACAGTATAAGATTTTTTAGCAAAATGTATCAATTAAAAAAGGGTAAATTAAATTTAGCTTGACTTAAAGTTGGCAAAAATCAAAGAAAGTGGCAGCCTTAACTTGTCAACTGAAGGAATGGGGTGAAGAGTGTGGCTCTGGTAGTGTTGCGGAAATATGATTGAATACAACAGACAAGGTGCTTTGATTTTGTTTTTTATACAATTTCTCATGTGATCTTATAATTTTTTTTCTTTTCAGATGATAAATTATATAAAAACTGTCCAATTGTTCTATTTATCTGAGTGTTTTCAGCTATACATTTAGCCATTTTCAAGGTTGAATATATTAACTGTAACAAGAAATATATTGTTGTATGTATGTATTTATATAATGTTTTCATTTTCAAAACACAGTCAAGATATTGTGTCCATGTTCATAGTTGATATTATGAAGTGTTGTTTTTTTTTAAATTTTTATTAATAAGGCTTCCATTATTTTTAGCCTTTTTTTTGCATGTAGATGATGTTATTATATTTGTGTTGTTAAGTATGTTACGAATAGGGTCCGGTCTCCATGAGTATTTAAATGAGACCTAATTGAGCTATGGTCAGAAAGGTGTAGTGTGAGTCTTTGTGTCAAACATGTTGTAGTATGTCCTATATAATTATTTACTAATTTTGATCGATCAGCAATACATTGGACATTTAAATTTGTAAATAATATTTGTCCTATTTAATTTTGTTCTAAGACTTGAATTATTACTTTTAACTATAAGGTTAGGTTTTAAATTTTTTGTAATAAATAATTCATCTAATTTTTTTGCTATTGTCAACTGGTGTTGTGCATTTTAATGCACAATATATTGATGGGCAAGTCTGCATAAAAAAAGGCTCTAATATATGTATATGCTGGGGTGGGTGGGTGCAAATGTATATATATATATATAGTAAGGTAAAAAATCCATATATAATGTATAATCCAAGTGGATCCTAGTAATATGAAAATAGAACTGATCCACAAAAAAGAGTTTGATATATTTTATTTATAGAGAGCAATATAATTAATAATCAAACAAATCCTTTTACTTCATATGGAGAATAGGCTATCTTGGCAGACAATGAAAGTGGTCATCTGTCTTTTCAACTTTGGTATGAAGTTCACGTTTGTAAGGTTAGAGGAAGCAGGAAATAGCAGTTAACTGTGATATTGGAAGCTAAAGGGTCAACCTAAACCTTAACTTGCCAAAAACACCTAATACAGAGTTTTACATTTTTCACTGTTTCAGTCAGACGCGAGGCACATGACAGAGATCAAGGAGGGTGGTAAGTATCTATCTTAAAGGGGAGAAAAACAGAATATTAACCTTATGACAACAAATTGGGGGTATTAGAAGAAAACACAAATTTTTAACTTAAAATTAAAGAAATTAAAAATGAACTCAAAAATAAATTTAAAAATATAGAAAAGAGACCAAAAATAAATATAAAATATATAGATAAAGAGATGTAAGGGATTATTGGAAAGAGAGTTAGGGAGATATTCTAAGTAGAGGAACGTTTATAAATTATAATTAATATAGTAAAAAAGTTTTTTTGGGGGGAATTGGTGAGTGACTTAGGGGAGCTAACTAATGCAAAATTCCACTATGGGAATTAGAATTAGTTTTTGGTTAATTATGTCAAACATTTGAAGAGTTAGAGGAGATGGGAGTTGGGGAGTTATTTTGGGTAGCTAATTAAGGCAAAACTATCTTATGGAAATTTGAATTTGTTTTTATGTCAATATTTAAACACTAATTCATCCTATTTTTCTCAAGTCTATTTTAAGGAAAAATTTCTTATAAAAACTCACAGATTTTGATTTTTAGCAGCAGAAATGCAACTCCCCAAGCCATTTAAACACAAGAGAAGATATGGCTACATACATTTTTTCCTTCTCAGCACATGCTCAAAGAAACATGTTGGTGAATTCAAATGAATCATCTCCAACAACAACAGCTTGGACTGCTAGTGAATTTTTACTGATTTTTCTTTTCTAAACTACAATTTTTTTTGTGGACCAACTATCCAAAGACTTTAACTAAAGACTATTTTATTCCTTTTTGATTCTTTTGAATTTATGTACATATGTTTGTAAATACAAATGATTTATTTAACAGGAATAACCCTGTTTTCTTTATTTTTATGTTATTATTGTTTGAAATTCAGATGTTTGGATACCTGCCCACATGATATCTTTACTGCTCAATATGCTGTTAGATATTTGACAACTTTCCTGGCTGGTACAATTACTAAACCTATTTCCCATTTAACATGTATGGGATATAATGATGCTTGACATTCAATTCATCCCTTTATAACCCACGATTTATTGCATTAAACAGTGCAAAAGGCATAGAATAATTTATTGCTGAATTGCATCTACCCTCTGTATAATCATATGCATGCAAGAGTACAAAGCTCAAGAAGGATATACAGTATATTAATATGTGGGCTGTTACTGCTGATACTCTTCTTTCAGAATCTTTGTATGCATAAGTGATTATCTAATCCAGCTATATTACCTCTAAATTTATCTTGAGTAAATCAGGGTGTTGCAATTTTATTTTCCATCAGTGTATTTGCAACCATTTTTTTTCTATAGTTTTCAATAGTAAAAATATTTATGGGCATTACAAAACTTTTATACCAGGAATGAAGGATGAAAAACAGGTCAACTGAAATGTTAAGGACTCAACTCAAAATTACAAATCTAGAGAAAATATAAAAAATTAATTAGGATTGATGTTTTTGCTTTTTGAGTATAATATAGAAAACATCTTATCTTAGAAATCAATGAACTGGATTGAATAAATTAATGAAAACCAAATCTGAAATACTATTCAAACAGAGAATCACAATGATTTTATTCATTTGATTGAAAAAAAGTCCAAATTTACAGGCAAAAGATTTGACTATTCTGGCTTTTTAGATCATTTTAGCCATGCAGTTGTTTTCAAATAAGTTGAATTTAGAATTTTTAACTGAAACAATAGCAAAATATTCATAATGAAAATAAATTGATAAACCATAGTTCAGTCATGCGAGTAAAACAGCTGAACTTTATTTTTGTATATTGATATCTACAACTTAATCTATCCCCTCATTAAGCCTAATCTTAAATGCTTTTACTTGAACTTATTTCTTTAACAATGAATTAATTTTTAATAAATTACTTAAATAATTTAAAATTATACAATTTGAATAATTTGTAAAAATTGCCATTTCAGATATTCTGAAGCTGTATGTAGGAAATGAACTCTTGGAATGGTCTCTACAAAGAGAGAAAATAGAAAATAGACTAATAGACAACATCATTTTCACTTACACTTTTACATCCACAAATATTGCAGCAGCACAACTGACCACAAGGATATGGACGCAAAAGCGGACGTTCACCAATTTTATGAAATTCTCTTTCAGAGTTCAGTTTTGCTTCAGCAGCTCTTGCCCTGAAAAATTAAAATTTTTGCAGCTTGAAATCTTATGCTGAACGATAACCACTTAAAAATCTAATTATTTACTAAATTAATATTGATTTGTCAAAATATTTGTTCAGTTTTAGTAATTAAAAGATTAAAGAAAAATTTTCTTTAATGTTATATAAAATTATATATATATATATATATATAATAAAATTTTCTTGAACAATATATTTAGTGATTGGCTCAACTATCTTCTGCCATTTTTTGAGCAACTTATAATTCCAGCATCCCAAAACTTTTGCAGGCAACTGATATTTCCATTAAGAGAATTCTGTAAAAACTAAAATAAGTAGTCATCTGAAAGTGCAACATCCAGAGAATACAGCAGATGAATCAAAATGTGCCAACCAAGCTGTAACAATGTTAGGATGCTTGTCTCCATTGGTAGTTGCATAATTAAAGGAAAAAACTTGTAGTTCCAATGAATGATTTATTCTATGGAAATATTTCAACTAGCAGATGCCAGTCTTGGTCACTCCTTAATTTGAGTAAAACAGTGCAAAGAAACTAGAAACACTTAAGAATTTAAATCAAGAAAAAAAAATGATTTGATGACATTTACAAAGTAAGAGCAAGTTGAGGTGTAAAAAAAAAAAAAAAAAGAATTTTGTTTTTACTCTACAAACTGTCATTTTTTTTTTTTGTCAAATATTTTTTCTTTGGAGCAGAGAGGTCCAGTGCTGCATCTTTCCTATTGCAGACATTTTTTGTATTTCCTATTACCATTTGTTCAGCTACTCTTCTTTGATTGAAATGCTTTTGGTTCGTCAATTTTATTTCCGGATGGTCGAAGTCTTCTCTGTGACCTTCTGTAATGGCATGTAATGTAATCACTGAAGTTTTTTCCAATTTTTGTTTTTCATTTTCATTTGATCCCCACATAACTTGTTGAGCAGTTCATGCAATTAATTTTGTAGATCAGATTGCCATTACTTGTAACTGCTCCTTCATCCTTTAATCTGATGAGCATCCTTCCTATTGTGTTGAAAGAGGAGAATACAACTCATATATCTATCTGTTTTAGAATTTGTTTCAGAGCTTCTGATGTGTTTTCTTCATGTGGTATGTTCACTGTTAAAACTTTTTCAGAACTAGAGTCTATATTTTTCTCAATGTCATTGTTGTTTATTCTGTCTAGTTGTTTGTACTGTAATTGTTTAGGAAATCCATTCTTTTGAAGGGTATCTATTATATTCCACTACTCAAATTTTTTATCCAATGGATCCAAACAAATTTTCCCTGTCTTTTGAAGAATCCTATTGTAATTCCTTTTTTGTACTAAGGCTGTGACATGAATTGAAATCCAAGTATTGATCTGTTGATGTGGGTTTTCTATAAACAGTTGTTTTTTTAATTCTCTCCTTTCATTTCTCGTAACCAAGCAATCTAAAAATGGCAGACTCATGTCTTTTTCCAATTCCATTGTGAATTTGATATGTTTGTTTTGATTCTTGAGGAATTGTAAGAAGGAATCCACATGTTGACATTTCATTAAGACAAAAGTGTTGTCAACGTACCTCCACTATGTTTTGATGGGGTTATCATAATTAAGCAAAGCTGTAGATTCAAAATCTTCCATAAAAAGATTTGCTAGGATAGGGGATTGGTGAACCCATGGGAAGTCTCATTGTCTGTCTGTACAAAACCTTGTTGAAAGTAAAATAGGTGTTATCGAGACAGAGGTCTATCAACTTAACTATGTCAATTGCAGTAAAGCTGATTCGTTCAGATAGTGTTGCATCATTAGATAGTTTGTTAAGCGCAATTCTAAGTGCTTCTTCTCTAGGAACGTTTGTGAAAAGAGAGCTGACGTCAAAACTTAAAACTTACCATAATTTCATCTCCTTCAATTTTCATATGTTTCAGCTTCTTGACAAAATCCTGAGTTTTTGATATATGATGAATTGTCTGGCTGTATAGTGGTTTAAGTAAGTTCAATAGAAATTTGGCTAAATTATAAGTCAGTGAATTTATGAAATCTATGATTGGATGAATTGGGAAACCATCTTTATGGATTTTGATTTTTCTATACATCATTGGGCACTTAGTGTTTTTCGGTTTTATAATGAACCATGTTGATTCGTCCAGTCTATTTTCCCTTTTCAGCCTTGTTAACTCAATGCAACAGTTCTTTTTCATCACATCCATGACACTTGATGATCTCTTCTTAATTTACTTATATGGTCCATCTTTAAGATACCCTTCCATTTTAAGTATATAATCCAGTTTGTTCATCACAATTGTCGCATTGCCTCTATCTGCTTTTGAGATTGTAATGGATTCATCTGAACAAAGATCTTTAATTGCCCTTTGCTGCTCTCTGGTTATATTTGGCTTAAATAGTTTTCTCTCTTGTAGTACCTTCACAATTCAATTTGCATTTTCAGCCTTCTAAGCATGAATATCACATTCCTCGTTCCAGTGTCTTCTTTAGCCTGTCTGCATTTGTTCCTTATTTCTTTGTGTATTTTTCTGTTTTCTGTCCCATATCATGGCAGAGTTTTCTGTCTCCTTTGCATCATGTCAAGAATCTCATCAGTCATCCATTCATTTTTATCTTTTTTGTCTATTCTCCTTTGGGATGACCTCATTTGTTGATGACACTAATGCGTCTCTTAGTGAGTCCTATTTTGAATTTCCATTGTGTCCCTCGTATATTCTTTTCACGTTTTCTGTATATTTTTCTTTTAGGTACGGGTCGCTCAGGAGTTGGTTATATAGCAACTTGGGTGTTGCATTAGCTTTCTTCAGTTTCTGTAGTTTCACTTATATATAACAGGGCGATGATTGCTTACACAGTCAGCATTTGGGTAGGTTTTGCAGTGAACGATTTCATTCCTGAATCTTTTGTTGATAGTTATGTAATCTATTTGTTTTTTAGTGTCTCCTCTTAGGCTCTTCCATATCCATAATCATCTCAGATGATCTTGGAACCATGTGTTGGCTATTACTTGGTCATTAGCCGTGCACCATTGAATCCATTTTTCTCCACATTCGTTGTGGTACCTAGTCCGAAATTTCCGGCTATATCCCCTGCCCTCTTGCTGCCTACTTTGGGGTTTATGTCTCCCATGATAGTGATGAATTCCTGTGATTTGCAAAGAGCCTTGGCATTGTCCAGCTTTGAGTAGAAAGCTTTGACTTCTTCATTACTTTGCACTGTCAATTATGATAGATATGTTGAAAGGCTTTCCTTTCAGCTTGACCACCAGAATTCTTTCAGATAGTTGGCAATATCCCAGAATGCATTTCTTAAATGTTTTATCTAATATTAATCCTACTCCTTTGTCATTTTTCTCTCCACTGGCATGAATAATCCTGTGCTCGCTGCTGACAAAATCTCCGTTGTTTGGCTATCTGGTTTCACATACACCTAAGGCAGGCTAAAAATCAGCATCCTAGGACATTCACATTACCATCTCCATAAGTATAAATCCTATTTTGTTGCAAACAAAAAAAAAAATAAATAAATAAAAAGGTATGTAAAAATATTCCTTATTTTTCATAAGGAATATTTTTGCATACCTTTTTATTTATTTCAATATTAGACTCAATAAAAGCAGTACATCTAAATTTTTAAAAACATTGGCACAATTTTAAAAACAAATTCATATTGTTACATATTATGACACCAGTTGTCATAATAAAATCAAAAGCAATATTCTTTTAAAAGTTAAAATTAAATGCTTGAAATGCTAACTGTATTTACTTTTTTGCCAACTTAATACCATGAGTGAAACTTTTTCAGTGAACTGAATTTTTATTTTAATGATAACAGAACTGAAATAACACATTGTAACAGAAAAGTATCTTAAGTCAGTTTTGAAATATAATTCAATATGCCGATTTTTTCTGCTTTATTATTAGAATTATACATAAATTATATAGGCATATTTGTATGGTTTTAAAACTGTACATTTGGAGAGAGTATTTTTTTAAAATTTCAATTCTGTTTGTTGCAAAGTTGTTTATATCTTATTCAAAAATTCATTCTATTTCCACCCAAAGCATTAATATTTCATTTTATTCCCACTCAGGGTATAATATCAGCCTGAAAGTAATAAGAGTCCACTCCTAAAATGATAGAAATAAATAATTAAAAAATTGTACAATCATTCTTAAAATGCATACAGCAAGAGAAAATAATAACCCTGTCAAATGTTCTGTAAAATTAATTCTAGAAATGATAAGTTAAAAGAAATTCTTATTTTAAATCTTGATATTACTTCTGATTTTCAGAGATTTTATTAATTGTGACTATATTAAATTTTTGTGCAGCTCTCAATTATATTGCATTATAGCTAGAAATATTATTTCTATTAAAATGTAGTGATGAAAACAGCAAGGACCAGTGCTAGATTTACCTATAGGCTTAGCAGACTGAAGCCTAAGGCCTCAAAATCTAAGGGGCCACCAGCCATAATGTTTTTGACAGTCACAGGTCTTTTTTTACACATGCTATCATAATGCATTGTAGACTCTAAATAACACTTCAGTAATCTTAAACATCTGTCATCATTCTTGGCTTTAACTCAAATTGTTTAATTTAACACTCTTCCATTTTCCTCTAATCATGAGAATGGAGGTTTGGAGAGGCCTCACAAATGGAATAGCCTAAGGCGTCTCTTCATCTAAATCTGGCCCTGGCAAGGACAATAACACTAATATGAATAGCTCAAGGAATAACACACAATAATACTTTATTTTAATTGATAAATTCAATAAATAGTTGTGTATTTTGCACTCATTAATCATAAATTATAACTCACCTTTGAGTATCTAACTTTACTAGCTTAGTGATATCATAAGCAAACTGAATATCCACGGTAGATGCTTCTGGGTAGGATTCTCTGGAATAAACAATGCCAACAAAAGCAAATTTTATTTTTCAATTTCGTACATTTAATTTGCATTATCAAGTGAAAATAAGCTGTTTGCATTACAAATGTAATAAAATTTTGACAAGGTATTAAAAAAAATTAAGTAATGATTACAAGAAAATAAAATTTTCAAATGAAAAATGAAAACAATCTTAGTGTTTATGCAAATAAATTAATAAATACAATAGTTATATCTATTTAATTTTGGATTATACTCATATCAAAACTATCTTCTTTCCATTTCTTATTTATACAGGAAATTGTTACCAGTTTATGTAATGAATTGAATAAAGGGTTTGGTTCAAAATGACAGACCCTTTATTCAGTTCATGAGAGTAGAATATTCCAATTCCACTATGCTAGAAGATATCTCTTATCAGTTAATTCTTTCTATTTAATTTAATAATGTGTCGCACTTGCTTTATCCACTGAATATTTTTACTGAAATTTTATTGATTGATTCATGGATTGAACTCATGATGGCTATGCAACCAGATGCAGTTACTCAATGCTTTTATCTACTAGGCATAAAACAAAAATGTCTTTTGAAATTTGATCATGAAAGAATAGACAATAAGTTTAAGATATTAGAATGAATTTACTAAAAATGTTATTGAAAAGTTCTAAATTTTTAAAATAGATTTAAACAAGCAATAAATATTTGGCAAAGTTTAAACTTTGTGCCTGCAAAAAAAAAGTGTGTCAAAAGGACAGTTTTTCCTTTGACACCACTATTATTTTAACTACCTTCACTCCTTAGCAATGTTTGTTTTAAAAAGGGATGATTAGAATTTTAACAAAACCCAAACATATGAAATTGAATTTATATATTTTCTTTGTTCTTGAGAATTTACAACAAAACATTATAGACTATTTATCTATGAGATTGTTTATTTATAAGAATAATTTTATATTTACAACATTCTAATAATGTGAATCAACTAATACAATACAATGTTTATCATTTACCAATCTATAAAGAAATAAATATAAAAAGATTTTTTATTCATAAATTTATAAAAAATTACTAAATTATAAAAATTTGTGAACCAATAATGAAATCTTTATTATTTACCATTTTATAAAGTTTAAATTGATTGGCAATTAGCCAATGTTTTACCAACCATTCCAAAGAGCCCAATTTGACAGTTTCACCAATTGCTTTAGTCAAGGTGCTTAGTGCCCACTCTTCATTTAAGATTTTTTCATCAGTCAGCACTTGGTTGACAATAAATAATTTACTGGTAGATTTTCTAGGTATTTTTAAAAAAATCAATGAAAATTTTAAAAAATTATGTTTTTCAAAAAAAGGAGTAAGAAGAGGGTAACCTATAATTTCTGAAGTTTCAGGTCTTGGATTGCTATTGATTAGGCATCTTTCATCATAGATCATGATTATAAAAGAAAAAAAAATTAAAACAAAAAGTAATCCAAGATATAAAATAATTTGAAAGGTAAATATATAATGTCTGGAAAAATCATGTTTATTTAAATTTTCTAGTTCAATAGTTCATATATATTTTTATGAAATTATGAATAAAAAACTGGTTTTCATATTTATTTATAAACTGGTAAATAATAAATATTTCATTGATTGTTGGTTTAATTGGGTCGTATATTTTTATAATCTTGTAAATAAACATTTGTTGAGGGCGTCTATATAGTATATAGTAATAGTGGTGTCAATAGCAAAAAAGGTTTTTTATGGGCATGAAGGTTAAACATTGCCAAATATTTTATCACATTAGTATTTTTAACTGTTCAGCTGCTATAGCCCACAGGAATCACTTTTTCCAGCTGTACCAATATGATATTTCGGATCACAACAGACACCTCTTTGTGTCTGGTCATAATAATTGTAAACAAGTCCTCAAAGAGGCTAAGTATTTGTTTACTGACAGAATGAGGCACCATATAGCCTTTAAAAAGTTTGGTTCCTGTGACTACTGGCAGCTCTGTAATAGTGTGTTAAATAAGAGTAAGTTTTCTATCCCTCCTCTCTTGAATAAATTTGAGTTATTAATATCTGCTGATAAAACAGAATGTTTTGCTTGTAGATTCTCTTCAAATTCTATTCTTGACTCATCTGAAGTATCTTTACCTAACTTTCCACATAGAACTGAATCTCTGTTGTGTGATATGCATTTGACTATGTCCACAATTTCTGCTATCATCTCCAAAATGGATCCCTACAAAGTATGTAGAATTGATGGTATCCCTGCAATTATAAGAAATGTGTTCCTGAACTGGCTCTTGTTTTCTCTAAAATTACAATAAATACCTTGCTGCTTCCTGCTTGCTGGAAATCCTCTCTTGTAGTTCCTGAGGCCTATCCTTAGATCTATGTTGTTCTTATTTTCATCAGTGACACTCCTGATGAAGTCAACTTGCTATCTATGCTGATGACAACTATTTACTCCTATTTTAATAGTAAATCTGATCATTTCCATAAAGTCAAATTGGCAGCTGATCTCAAAAAAACATACAATCTATTGTTAACTGGGTCAAGAAATGATTTGTTAATTTTAACGTCTCCAAAACAAAACTACTCTCTTTTAATTCTCTGAGATTTCCCTTTTTGCCTTCCATCAGCATGGTTGATGCTAACCTCCAGGCGAGTGACCCCTTGCACCTTCTCAAGCTAACATTTTCTGTTGACATGAAGTGGAAAGATTATATTGAATCAATTGCTAGGTCTGCTGCTAGGAAAGACAGTTTTTCTCACCAGAATCATACACATTTATAAAACTACCATTCATCCCTGCTTTGAATATTGCTGTCACATCTGGTCTGGTGTTTCTGCTATGTATTTAGAGATTCTTGATAAAATACAAAGAAGTATTTACAATGTTATTTGTTCTGACCTGGCATCTAGGCTTCACCAGTAATGTAGCTTCCCCAAGTCTTTACTATAAATATTTTCAGAATTGTTCCTTTATAGTAACTAGACTTTATGAATTTAAGAACATTATAAGATTGGTGGCAAGATCTCATCATTTACTAATTGAAATGGCTAGATGTAACTATAAGTTTTATGCTAACAGTTTCTTCTCTTGCAGAACCAGCTTCTTGCTTTCTAGCCAACTTTAATCTTCAAAACTTTAAGTACCATGTCAATCATTATCTTGTCTTCTTAATTCCTGTTCTTTTATTGTTCTCTTTTCTTAATAATATTTTCATTTTCTCATATTTTCTCACACCCTTGCATCTTAGTGCCTTTATTATCTTGCTTGGGGTGAAAAGATTTTTTTTAAATTGTTAAAATTCTTTTAAATTTTGTCATCTGTAGTTTCTATAGGTCAAAAAATGAAAAAAAGATTTACATTTACATAATATTTGAATATTGACTAATCAATATTTCCATAAATAGTATCTGACAATTATCATCTTGCACATATATTTTCACTTTAAAAGAAACTTATCTTAAGTACATTTTAATATCACAATTTATTGCTTTATTGAAATTGATTTGGTAGACATTCAGTTGTTATTATCTAAAAATATAATTATAAGGAAAAAGTATTTCTGAAAAGTTAAGGAGTTTGTGAAATGTGTTCAAATAAAATTTGGGCTGATGGAAGAACTGAATATTAAAAAAAAAGCAAAGACAAATACTTACTGAAAGTGCTGTAATATAATACTTTTGAAACATTTGTCTTTAGGAATGTTTGTAATCATCAAAGTCCTAGAGACCTGCAGAGAATTAATACAAAATATACACTTAAATAAACACACATATAGGGACAGAAAAAGAAAATATATTCTACAATCAGCAAAATAGTATTTCAAAAAAGCTCTTTTTGGTACTAAAAGTAAGAATGCCAGTAATAGAATATACTTTATTTACAGATAAACTGCCTTTTTAAAAAATTTTTATAAAATTATTTGTCTGTTAATGGTTTCTAATCTTTTTATATGTTGATAGGTAGGCTCTTCAAAAATGATTATGTTTTTGTTTTTTTAATTTAGACATTTTAAAGACCTGAAATAAAGGCATTAAATCAAATATAAAATCTTATGTAATTATGTCACCTTTCTATTTCACTGTTTATATGTTTTAACCTGTCACTGGTCACATGAAACATTTTGTATCAGTAAAAGATTAAACTGAAATGAACATATTTCTTTCATTAGCTTACTTTATAACATTATATATTTTGTTTATATTTAAAATATACTTATGACAAGACTAAATTATGATTAATTCATTAAAACAAGTAATAAACATTAAATAATTGATCTAATATTGGGTTATGAATGTGCACATAGTATAGCAGTTATAAGTATTGAAGGTGGAATTGGTATGTTTTCAAATTTCAGCCATTACATTTACTTTTGCATAAATACTCTTGGAAAGGTAGGAATCGATCACCCCTAAAAACTATGGGTTAAACAGTAGAGCAGACTAAGCTCTCTGGCTGTGGTTGTCAACCAGTCTAAGAGAAGGTTAACTCAGAATTCAAAACTGGTTGAGCATGGAGTTAATTCCACCTGGTAAAAACCTACTTGCTATGGAAACCATAACAGCAACACAGTGTGGTGAGGTTTTGACTTAACAGATAAGCTTATAGGGTTAACTTACATACATACAATAGGTTATAGTAGAATGAAAGATCAATATTGAGATTACAAATGAAAAAAATCGTTTAAAGTGTTTTTGATAAAAATGATATGTTTACCTGATCATCTTCTTCAAATTGCAAATTTTGTGAAAAATGTTGCATAAAGAAAGCCGCAATCAATAAATATATAATTGCAAGGAGAACATGAATCCATAGTATCTGGGAACTAGCAAAACAAAAAGAATTATTTTTAAAGCAATAAATAGAAGACACTGAGATTGGATATTCAAGAAGAAAAGTTTTTAATAACTTTCTCTAATATATTTAGATGACTTGTATATTATGAGTTTACAATATACAAAATATTAGCTCTAACAATTCAATAAATAATGTTAAGCTTACTAGTTGAGACTTTAAAAAAAGAAAACTATAAGGTTTAGAAAAATTAAAGCTAATGAAGTATATAAGTAGATGAATAAATCCATATCTTAAAGAAGAAAAACATTTATTCTTCAATATAATCTTCTATGTGACTGCACAATTCAGGCAAGGCTGTCTAAACCCAGACCTATTAAGGAGCACCTGATAAATAATCATCATTTTGTTGTGGCACACCATGAAAACATGTTCTTTACTGTGCAGATTGCACTCCCAATTTCAGCTTAAAGGCCTTGTAAAACTCTTCATTACGTCTAGACAAATTTCCTTTGTATAAACAGAAGGAATGGCTGCTTTGTCTTGATGTGGTCTGTATTTCAATACATTATTGTTTGTACATTACTAACATGTGTATTTTGTTTTCTTTTTAATCAGAACATGTTTATTTTCTTATCCTTGAAGAGAGGATTTAAACTGGTTAACACCCCAATTTTGTTTTTATGTAATTACTTTTCTGCTTGCTTTTTAATATCATATGTCCGTTTTTTATACCATAATTAAATTTTGCACCACCAACAAGATCTTTTAAAGTTCACCTAATAACTACATAACAGGCTATGTACTTATTGATCCACCCTTACAGGTGCATTCCTTTAGAAAAAAATGAATAGAATTCTATGTGAAAATTATGAATTGTTATAAAGAAATTACCAGATTTTTCCAAAATCATAAGAGAGGGGTATGTGTGGGTGCTTGACAGAAATAGTTGGAAACAATTTTTGAGCTTAAACCAAAATGAACAAAATTTTATTTAAAAAATTTTAATTTAAGAAGTATAGTAAATGCAAATTGCAATATTGCTGTAATTATGATTTTAGCATTACAATTATGGTGCAATGGTTTTAGTTACTAAATGAAAAAAGTACAATTAAAATTTGTATATCTTTAGGATATTTTATTAAAAAAAAATTATTCTAATTTTCAAAGTATGCAAGAAAATCTTAATTCAGGAAACAAAAGTTGTTCTTAAGTTTTAATTTTACTTACCTAGGTTCTACATTGGCCATAGTTGTGCGCCCAAAATCTGTAGAGTTACTAACTGAAAACAATACCAAAATGATCAATAAACAGCAATTTAATACCAGATAAAAATTAAACTTGGTAAAGCTTTGTAAAGAAATTATTTTTTCATTTTAAAATGGAATTTATATCTAGAATTTCAATGTTTTGTACAAAAAGTTAATAGACATAGTCTGGATCTTTGGGCTATAGAATAGAATTCTTAATTTAGCATCTGAGTCAATGCAAACATCAATGATTTAGAAATAAAAACAAAACTATATGATAAAAGAACATACTAAGAGTTCCTTGGAAATTGACTGGTAAAACAACTGCTGTGGAAATGGCACAAATGACGCCTAAGTAAACCATAAGGTATCTTTGAAATGAGAGGTACTGGACAGCATCACGGCCACTTTTACGCAAAATGTCTGCATCCCTAAAATAAAACAAATATAAAGCAACCTGAAGAATAAATTCCAATTCAAAAACAGAAGAATTATTTCATAACTTTATTTTTTCAAAGTATGTACATCTCTCTAAGTAAACAAAGCCATATTAAAGCTACAAATTATAGTCTAAGATAAATAGTGAAATAATCATTGTAATTCAATAAATAATATTCAAATGTCTTAGATGTAACTTTCTATTGCAACTCCCAGATCATCATTTCATGACATAGAAAGCAGCATGGAATATTCTGATCTGTGCTTCTTATGATTAATTGTGATATTATGAAATGTGATATTAAATCCCCTAAAGGAGATAGACAAAAGGTTTTCCATTAGAAATTTCCAAAATAGGCATCAGTTACATTATGAGAAGACAAACTGGTATGAATTATATATACATGGTAAGACCAAAAGAATTCATTGCACAAGGCACTTATTTTCCAAATGAATTCACACATGGAATTGTCTGGGTGTGAACTCATAATTTAACAAGGTTTTAAATAGTAGGATTGAGTAAAACCCTACTCAACATTAGAAAAAATGACAACTGAGATAAACCAGTTGGTCCATGCTAGGTTAGATCTTGGTCAAAATTCAGTATTACAATTTTTACTACAATTCTTTAATGAAGACTATTCTGACTTTGAATGTTTACTGACAATTCAAAATTCAGCTGACTTACTCAGCATATAATTGAGAGGAGTGAAATCATCAAAACCTTTCTCTTGTTACTTTGCACATATGTAAATCAGCTTGTAATCTGATACCTGAAAGAAACCTACTTCCCATAAATACAGGGAATTATTACAAGGTGTGTTAAATAAAAGTACTTTTTGAAAGTGAAATGAGAAAAGAATGAAAAGAAATTTCAAAATAAAAACATTTATTATATAGTACATTTTCCTTTAGAGTAATATTTGTGAAGAAAAACTTTGCAAATGTTACTATAAAGGAAGATATATTGTATAATGTATGTTTTACTTCTCTTTAAAGTTTAGATAAAATCATTTTACACCCAAAAGCAATGAATGATGAAATGAATGACCAAATGATGAAATTTATGGACTATTATAAATTACATATGTTTACTGCATAAGGGACAACTTGAATTTTGCTGTTAATTTGGATTGTGGCTATTTTTAACATTATAAAAGTATTTTCACAAATTTTATAAAAAATGAGTATTTTAATAATATGGTTTCATTCAAAGACAGATTTAAAAATTTAAAAAGTAAACTCACTTAACACGGATAAATGCAGGAATCCAAGAACCAAATCCCTGCAAGAAAACAATACTCATGTTGAGAAAATAATAATGGCTAAATATCAAACATTAAAAAACATTTAGAATTAAGAGATGGTTATTAAAAGAAAATTTCAAAATATAAAGAATTCTTAACTGTATTCTTTCTGTCATTCCTGAAAAATGCCCATTCATTGTAAAATTAGCTTGACCTCAATTGTAGCTTTTAAAACATTTTTTATCCTTATCTCATGGCCTCTATCACTAATTGCATTATTTGAGTTTGAGGGTAAATTTATAATCTGGAGATAATTCTATACACATACATTTCTGGATACAAAAGAAACACCAAGATCTTGTCAAATCATGATCATTGGAAGAATCTTTGCTTATGAATAGAGAACAATAAAAGAAAAAAGTGGAATAAACTGGAGAAATATTGAAAGTATTTAACAAAATGAACAATAGGCACTTCCTAAACAGAATTAATACCAATTCATACTATTATTAGACTGGCCAATAAGTCTATGTCAATATACATATTAAGTAGCATGGCATTTCTTCCAATTTCACTATGTAGTTACAGAAGGTGTGACAGAAAAAGTTAATGCACAAAAGGTCATAAAAAGACTAAAGTGTCAGCAGTCTCTTGGTGCCTTTTTTAGTTTTCTTGTAAATTGATTTTGTTTTCCATTAGGATGATTCTGCAAAGACTGGAATAGAAACTAATCTGAAGTTAAAATATCTAATAATGCCTGAGTGAAATCTTCCCAAGCAAACTAATAATTTTTGTTTGGTTATCAAAGAATGTGTTTTAGCATTAGGTTGATGGAATATTATGTCATTTCTTTTAACTAATTTTGTATGTTTTTTTTTTACAATTGCTACTTCCAATTGGTCTAAAACAGTAATACTTGTTTTAATCAATTGTTTGAATGAAAACCAGCCTTTAGTATTAGTAATGGTTCATTTTGCTTGCTCCAGACTGTTACAAAGTATCCATTTTTCATTGCCTGTCATAATGTGTTTAAAAATTAGATCATTTAATTAAAGTAGTTTTTTTTTTGCTTATGTGGAAACCATACATCAAAATGATTATCATAGTCAAACTGACACAAATTATTTTAAATACCCAATTCGGATATTTTGTGTTTGTTGGTTATTTTCTATATTGTATAATGTTGATTATTTTCAAAAAATGTCTAAATATGATCATTATCAATTTCAGTTGACTGATTCACTGAGAAATTGCCAGCATAAAACTTTACAAATCACTTTTAAGTCATTTTCTCAGTAATTTCATCATAAACGGTACAAATATCATTTTTGTGTTTGAGTTACATTTTTAACTTAAAAATAGTATAATATGTCAAATAATATTCATTGTAAGAATCATAAATAATTTTAAAAATACATGCTAATACAGTGTAACCTGGATATAAGAGAGTTGTCAGGACTGGAGAAGAAGTCTCTTATATCCGAGTTTCGTCTATTTTATATACATTAAGACAGGCTCTAATTTGGGACCAGAGAAAATCTCTCTTATATCCGGGTTTCTCTTATATCCGAGTTTCGTCTATTTTATATACATTAAGACAGGCTCTAATTTGGGACCAGAGAAAATCTCTCTTATATCCGGGTTTCTCTTATATCCGAGTTTCGTCTATTTTATATACATTAAGACAGGCTCTAATTTGGGACCAGAGAAAATCTCTCTATATCCGGGTTTCTCTTTATATCCGAGTTTCGTCTATTTTATATACATTAAGACAGGCTCTAATTTGGGACCAGAGAAAATCTCTCTTATATCCGGGTTACACTGTATTACAGCTGTGATAAAAACAAAACCACCAATAACAAAAAATCAGAAATCTTTTGGCCAACTTAATATAACATTTCTTAAACTGGATTGTGCTGGATTTGAAACAAAGTGATTTGACTAATCAACTTTAATATATTTGAATACTTACCATAACTTCAAAATAAAAATTGTGTATACTTTATTAAATCATTACTTCTACACATTAAAGTTAATTAATTTGTATTAAAATTTTGTAGTTGAATGTCATTTTCAGAAAGATTGATCTGTTGCTCTAAAAACAAAGTAATATTCTAAATGTATATACATTTTATACAAAGATATTTATTCATATAATGCTGATAAAACCAGCAATTAAAAGATGCTGCCAAATATAGATAGATATACATATGATCAGTACAAAATATTTATTAAAAGTAAACAAATTTTATAAATGCACATTGTCAGTTTATTTCTTTTATTAAACATTATAAGAAATAGTGATATTCAAGTTTATTTATGTCATTTAAATCATGAAGTCAAATTAGCTTTAAATAAGTTAACATATGATATTTCCTTTACATATGCAAGTTAAACTGGTATTTTTATTGGAGGCATTTCTAAAAGATGTTGACAAAAGACTGAAATGAGAATACAATATGAAATGTTTGAAAATTTAAAAGAATATAATACTCTATCTTGAGAGTGCAGAGTGGCATCAAGGGACTCTGTTGAACCTTCTGCAGTTGGATCATGACTGCCATAGAATAGAGTGGTCCATCTGAAAGTACCACAAAAATTGGTTAAAAATAGCAAAAGATATTTTTTAAATAACTGGTAGTCTACCAAAATGATATAAAAACAGTATGCTTGATTACCTCATATAAAATATGAAAGATTATGAAATTTGTTTATGAACTAATATTGAATTATTTATTTTTTTTAAATTGGTCTAATAAAGTGTTGAACTTAGATAAATTAAAAATGCAAAATATATAAGTGAATATTATTCATTAACTTGAATTACCAAAAATATTACTAATACAGAAAACAGATGAGAATAAATGCATAATGGTTTACAAAATATACAGAATTTGTGTTTGTTTTTTATGTGAATCATTTATGTATAAAATAATAAAAAAAAATTTAGTAATTAATTTCAAAGAAACAATGCAGTAATAGAATATGTAAACAAGCAGAATGTACTCAAGATTAATCTACAAAAATATTTCTGAGCTCATAGACATATCCATAAAATACAATTTTATCTATTTTCTTTACATTCTTCATTTGTAAAGATTTCATTACATTGTAATATTACTAGTACAAATTTATTACGTTTATTTTCTCCACACAGAATGAAAATAAAGGAAGACATCAAAGTTATTTGCCCAAAGTACAAAAATCAAATATTGTAAGGCAAATTAATTTTTTGTATAAATTGTTAATATATATTGTAATTAAGCAGAATAAGAAAATAGTGTTAATCAAACCATTATATTTATCTCCAGTCATGAAACTATTTTATCCATATTACAAAGTACATAGTAAAATAAATGGCATAAATTTTGCAGTTGTGTGCTTACAAAATATAAAATGTGTCCTATCAAATAAAATAATTTGATTTAAATAGGCTTTTACATATATTGTGAAGTGGAAGATACTGAAAATAATTACATTAGAAAATTTAAAATATAACTGGCCCTAAATAATCCAGTAATTTATTATATTTTTAAAGTTATGTCCTCTTTAAAAAGATTTAAGAGATAATACAATTTTTAATATATTAAAAATAATTTAATATGGAATAGAGATTTTTTTGCTGATCCATGGATATAATTCCAATTTATTTAGCAGAAAAGTTTTAATTTTTATGCTGTCATTATCTATTAATGATTATTTTAATCACTACAGAAATCACATGATATCTATTCAAAATTTAATCACTGTCAATACATATTTTAATAGCATGGAAACAACAATACAGGCAGGAAACTTAATTGGTTCAAGTAGAAACCATTCCATGCACAAGAATATTAAAAATATTGAATTATACTTCCAGAGAAAAGGAAATACAAAAGCCATAAAAGAGATTTAGTTTCATACAAAAAAATATTTAACATGCCCAGTATTGAAATGAAATAATTTCATTTTTCATTTTGTTTACCTCTTTATGTCAAACTGGTCACTATCCCAACCAACCTATTCTATATAATTTACTTGTTGCTTCTGTCTAGTGAAAGTAATTTGGCAGAAGATATTACTTGTGCTGACTACATATGTAAGGAAGAGTTGAAATCAATGAGCGCATATGAAACATTGTATAGCTGATATATTGTCTATAACTTTGAAAAGTATTATCAATATTTAAACAAGGCCAGCATGTCCTAACCCCAACACCCCCGACTGAGGGTGGCCCCTGCGTTTTTTTGGCCCAGTTGTGGCCCCTGCCAATTTTTTCAGCACTGTTTTATGGCATTTTTTAAAACTTATTTTTAAACTGACATTATATTGTCAGTCATCAACTAATAATATACATCATGTATCTGCATGCCTGGTGCAGTGCATACTACACAGAAACCCTCAACAATGTTGGAGCCTCAAAAGGGCTAGTTTCAGCAGCATTTTTTTTGCTTTTTGTACCTTTTTTTTTTACTAATAGTAATACTAACCAGAAGTCCATGGCTAGTAATTAAAATAAAATTTCTAGTCCCTATTTGTTTACATTTCTAGAAAGATAAAACTGAGAAAATGATCACTTAAAAAATAAAAATGTTTAAAAATTTCAACACATGAAAAATTTTCCCAAAAACTGAAATACTAAGAAAACCCCATTTGTTTTGTACTGGAATCTTAGTAAAACTTTTTTTCTCAGCAGAGATGCATTGGTAATTAATTTTTATAGAAATGTAAAAATTTGTGACTTAAACATTTTTTTTTTTAAGTAAAATTTAGTCATAAAAATATTGGTGGTTATTACAAAAAGCATAAAATTTTCTCAGATTTTTTTTTTTTTTAAATAAAAAGCCTATCCATTATAAAAAGTAAATATTAATGAATATGTACTGAAATTTTCATTCTGATTTCCTTCAAGGATTTGTGGCTCCTAGGTTGGGAAACCTTGCAACTGACATGTAGTAGAGAGGGGAGCCCCATATCAAAGTTTTGTTGGGGGGACCCTAGCACCAGCCCTTGAACTCATTTGTTGGTATTGTTATCACAATGTTTTGGCTAATTCATTCTATAGTCTTTATCAGGTGTATAATTTCTAAGAGAAGAGATAGTGCCAGAAAATGGTCACTATTATGCCAACAAGGTTGGATCACTTTCACAATGTGAGATACATACAGATAATACTATTCATGTAACTCAGGTGATTCTATGATAGAGTACCTAAAATTTCTTGAACAAGAAGTCTTCCCCTAAAATATATGGTCATTTGGTCAGATTTAGGAAGAGAGTCAGACTAAGAATCTTTGATATTACTGAGCTTCCTAATACAACAAGGCAAAGCTGGGTTTAGAACCAAAATTTCTGATCCCAAATTTAGAAATCAATTGCATTCACATTCCTTTGAGTTTGTAGCAAGTAGAGTTTTATTTCAATCAGCCACTTGCTGACTATAAAGGCCAGTTAATCTTATTTGAGGAAAATTTGAACAAAAGAACCCATGTAAATTATTAATGGTTTTAATATTGTAAAAAACATCAGAAGAGGGATAGGGAATAAGATATAAGAATTTATCTTCTGAGAATGTGGTACTGTAATTAACAGATATTCTCACTGAAAGAACCCAGTCCTACTCACTGTGAAAGATTTATTACTATTGGTGACAGAAATGCCAACCAATGAGACCATTATTAAGAAGAATTTGATGGGGGAAACCTGTATAAAATCCAAGCCCTGGATATCTAAAGTTATTCAGCTGGTTCCATTTAACAGGAGCATTACAAAAAATAAACAAAAGTTTCAGCAGTTAACATTGGTCAAGCTTTTGATGCTTCATGAACATATGTTATCATATGTAGATCTTCAGAAAGTATATAATTGTTATACTTTGTCCACTCTTCATGTTGTACATAGCTATTCTTTCACATTTTAAGCAACTTATCAGGATGAAAACTAAATGCATTACTTCATGAAATCATTTACTATACAAGCTATCATCAAGTATTCCCTTAATTGGTGCAGGTTGAAAGTGTAGTGTCAGGGGTACTATAGCAGATTTATAGTTAAGAAAAGAAAAACTTGATAAAATTATGTTGGCATTCCTTGTTTAGTCACTTGACTTACAAAATAACATTTTACTACCACAAGAAATTACTGACTACTACATTAGATTTGATGGCCAGCTCTTTAAAAATAAAATTCCTAAATGTGATCTAATATTTCATAAACCTTTTAAGATTTTCTGACTTTGGATAAAGAAGAATAAATTTGTTTAAAAATTACTATGATTCTTTTAGTAAATCATTAAAAAAAAAAAACTGTTTTTATGATGATATCAATTTGAACCTGTGCAAATATATTAAATATTAAAGTTGAATCCTAAGCAACATTTTCACAACAATTACAGTGTTAATAAATTCATTGATGCATAGATTTCCACTTAAAAATAAAAGAAATTATACATTTATTACTTTGCAGAAAATGTAATCTATTTTTCATTGTTATTGATTTTGAATTATCTTAAATATACAATAATATTTTGTAAGAGTGAGTTATATTTGAGAATTACTACAATACTCATATATCTTTATTTTTTTAGTAAAGACAAGTTTAGGATTAACATTTAATTTTATTGAAAAAATATTTCAGCAAATATGGTCCGACATTGGGGAAAACTATAGACGTTATTTATTTTTTAATTCTTAAATGTGGCATTTTTTAATTTTCAATTTTTAAATACTTTTTAAAAGTGTTTATGTATTATGATGACATAATGCACAATGCACAAGTGAGATTCTTTGATATTTCCTTTTAATAATAACAAAGATTTTGATGATAAAACTTTGTCTTTATTAAGTTTGGGGTATTTTTTATCATGTATGCTCATTTTTTAGCAAATCTTTGGAGGTATCTATAATGGATATAATTACATATATATTGTTAACATCTGCATGGAAGGATTATAAAGAAAAATATTTAAAATGGTGTAATTATAACATTTCTTGTTTTTTTTTTCTTTTTTTTTTTCACACTGATGTCTTTCAACCAGCATCTGTATCTTTCCATTTATTTTTTAAAGAGACCAGAATCTACACTGTTGTCTTATGTACAAGAATTTGCTGAAAAGTTATTGACTCAACCAAGGAGCCATTTCTCCCAAATTCTGTTGTTTGGCTATTTGGTCAGATTTTGGAAAGAGGGTCAGGAAATTTAAGATCTTAATACATTTTTTTTATTTATTAAAAGTTATATTTTGTTTTTAACAAAACTACCTTTGAATAGGTTTTTAACTTGTAACATTATCACTTTTGTAATGTAAACTTATATACTACATGTCATACTGTCTAGTATCTAAACTTTGGAAATTAAGTTCATGGCATAACATCTAAGATCTTTTTGACATATCTGAAAAAATCATATTAATAGAATAACTCATTGAACCACATTTTTTTTATTGCTCTGCTGCACCTAGTTGTAGTTATGCACTTTACAAATCAAGCACCCAGACATGAACCATAACCAAGTATCTAATATGCAGCTACTAGCCAGTCATTGAAAAGATCTTTTAAAATAGAAAGTCATTTTTGAGAGTATAAGTAAATAAATAATGTGACCATGCTAAAACATTTTTAGTTTTTATTTTCTTTCTCATTTGATATTCATTTTGAAATAAAGATTGCGTTGCATTACCCAGTCACTTTTCTCTGTAATTAATATAGCAGAATACAAAATTCAATTTTCATTTCATGTCCATAAAAAATAAATCTCAAATTGCAAATTGTTATTAATGAAATAGAAATATTTTTATGAAATAATTTAATATAGTATTTTTTGTTTTTAATTTCAACAGGTTTGTAGCAAAATATAACAAACTTGTTAAAATTAACATTCAAATATGTAAAAAGCTATAAAAGCATTTTTTATGTAGCGAGCAGAACTACTTGATCTTTAAATTAAATTAGACAAAGAAAGTTCAAAATGACTTACATTTTTAAAAGAAAAAATGTTCCTTTTAGTTTTAAGTATGTAAATATATCTTTAACTATAGCTGTTTAGTGTGGATCAAGTAGAAAAAATTAGAGGTTACCAAAGAGACAGAGAGTAGAGTGAAGAGAGCCAAAAAAGAGAATAGCAAATGAATAGAAGAATTTTCTCCTTATATCATATTGCAAAATGACATTTCAAAATTTAACTAATATTTTAAATATCATCTGTAGAAAATTGTTCTCATGCTAAAAATCTGAATCTAACAAATTACAGAAGCAATAACAATAATTTATAATAAAAACAATCTAAATTGTGCAATGTGTTTCAGATGTACAATAGAGAAAACTACCAAAGTAAATTTGGTATTATCATTTTTATCTTACACAATGTCAATAGTTGAATCATTATTTATAATTTGTGCAATATGGTAAAAAGGGAAAACTGGTTATAGTGATACTAAAAATAGAATTGTTAAAGCATAGCATCATAAAATTTACTGTAGATTAAACCCAAAATCAAATGCAAAGTGAATGTAAGCAATTAAGAGAACATTATTGCAACCAAACAAAATCAAAAGCATACATATTGTACTGATTTCCAGCACCACTGACAGGATCTCTGCTGAAAAAATAATAAATAAAGAATAGGAAAACCAAAAAATAAAGCAAAAATATATTGTGAAAACATTGAAAGACGTTTACATTAAACTAAAAGAAAATAAGCAGTGAAATTGAATTCTTAAAAATTAACAAAATTTAATTAAAAATGCATAAACATATTGGTAGTAAAAATTAAACATTTAACATCTCTCAAAATCAACGTTTTTTTGTTTTCTTTTGATAAATCTCATACTTCATTAGCATTTATCAGATTTAGTTATAAAATGGATTTCTAAATTTTGTTCTTTGTTCTTTAAGACAGTTGAGGATACTGTACATATATATAGCTTTGGAAATAACTCATGGGCCAATCAAGAAGTCTGCATCCGGCTTATAGCATTTTGTATTTGGTGATTTATATTACAAGAAGGATCTTTGATAAATGAAAAACTTCATATTGCAAATATAGATAATTATTTGTACATTAGTACCTAAATAGTAATTATGAGCAGGTGCTGAAAGGTTCCAACTGATCCACTTCTCAAAATCTGACTAAATGTTTTTTGGAGAGCCTTCTTGGTTGGGCCAAGAACTTTTCACCATTTTCTCATAAAAAAAAACAATTGAGTTTATAATCTTGAATTAAGTTAACATTCTTGAAAGTATATACTGTCAAATGAACCTTGACAATAGAGGTCAAAGCAAAAAGAATTTAATTGCAATTCACTTGTCCTCATGAATTAAAGATGATTATTTTTTTTTTGATAAAAAATAAATGATGTAAAATTTACAAATCTTATTCATAAGTATTTTAGGATGAAATCTGTATCTATTACATACATGATAATATTTAAGGGTATTGTATTATTTGCAATATGTTTTCAGTTTTTATGGAGGTGGATGAGGACATTAAAAATTTGTCCTAATCCATTTCTAATAAGCATCAGTGTATGACCATAGAGCAAATGGAATCATGTTCCTGTTTTTGAAAGGCACCAGTAAAGATTTTGGAGGAGATAACAGAAGTGTATAGAACAGATGTCCCATCCTATAGTTAGCTTTAGTATCAGCATTTCAAATGTGTCAAGGTTTCAGTGGAAATGGCCTTTATTTCCAGCCACCCGCAGTCAGCTAATGTTGTAATGTTATAGCCAGAGCTAGAATGTTTAGCAATTACCCAGTATACCTCGTGGGTGTGGTATTCTGATAGTAATGGATTGCCTTTGTCTGGGTTTTGGATATAAGTCCAAAATGGCATGAATTCAACAGAGGACAGCAAGAATTTTGAAGTATTGATATGTTTCTCACACCTTGGTTCAATAGATGGGCTAAGACCACAGAGCCAATAAGCAACATGCGTTCATGTGACATAATTCCTCCCACTGCCTCCATGTCTGTCCCTCTCTTCTAATAAAAACAAGTAAGAAAAGGAAATTGCAGAGACAACATGGAATGCAACAGTTACCATTTAACAGGTAGACATTACCATTTTAGGTGATTACTATATTCAGTAGCAAGTAAACAGGGTCAACATTAGTGTGGAATCTATGGGAAAAGAATCGTCATGGATATTTTTATTTTTTTATTTTTTAAAAATTTTAAAACCTTATGCAAGGTGAGAGTGCCTCTAAGAGGCAAGGGGTTACTGAGAGTAAAAAGAAAATGAAAATGGCATTAGTGAGAAGAAAGGACAAAAAGAATAGGATTCATAAAGACAGAATGAAATTTTTGAAGATTGTTGCTGACAGGGAAGCAAGAAGTGTGAGAAAAGAAACTATTAGAATAGAATTATAGTAGCATATCAACAGTAAAACTATGAGACCTAGTTGCCAATCTAGTACTATGCTTAAATTCATGTAGTTAAGTTACCAAGGAGTAAAGCTCATCAGAACAATTGCCATGAAAATATTTATAGAAAAGACAGAGGGAAGCCATGTTATCATGGTAGGAAAGTGAATGATGGTGAAATGGTCAGGACTGATAACATTAGAGACCCTTCAATGGATTTTATCAAGAATTTGAGATAGCAGGAGCAACAGACTATGTGTGGTGGCAATATTTAATGCATAATCAGATGGTAGATTTATAAAAATACAAGATGGATTTTGGTGAGAAAAATTGTCTGACATGACACAGTGAACAAAATTTCCTATAATAATATAATAAATCCACTTCATGTCAGTGTAAAACATAATGAGTTGCTCTCCATGAAGTTGGCATCACCCATGCTGATGGAAAATGAAAATGATTCTCCAAGATGACTAAGAGAGAGCAGTTTCATTTTGGAAGCATTAAAATTAAAAAGACATTTCTTGTGTCAGATAACAACTGACTGAAGGTCATCTTCAAGATCAGCTGCCAGGTTTACTTTATTGGTCAGATCAGATGTAATATTAAAACAGGAGTTGTGTCATCAGCATACATACTGAGTTGGGAACTGATGACAATGGTAAGGTTGTTGATGAAGGTCCAAGGCCCTGGGGAAGCCTCACATTAATGTGAAAGGAACTAGAAGAATGGCTGTTCAACCCAACTTTTATTAAACGATTAAAACTTTCCAAAAGTTTTGGTCATGACCAAACCTGGATTCATCACAGTATAAACAATGGAAACACACTGATTCCACACCACTCAAGAAGACATGTGTTGAACCCTCTGATAGCAGACTTATGATCACAGTCTTCTGGGAGTAAAGTGGTATGGAGGATATAGATTTTAAGTCAAAGATACAATAACTGGTACATGCCTCATTGTTATTGAAATTATAGGAAGCTATCAAGAAACCAAAGATACTGTGTCTGGATTTTGAAAGACAATGTGTCAGTATACAACTCTCTGTCACACTCATGTGGTTACAAAGTTTTTCTCCTGCCTATTCTCCTGACCTAGTACTATCTGATTTCCAAATCTTCCTCTTCATGAGGTTATATTTGAAAAGTAGGTGATTTCAGAGTAATAACACACTGATTAATGAAGTGAAATCCTGGTTGCAGTCCCAACCTGCTGAGTTCTATAAGAAAGGTTCCCACAAATGAAGCAAACAATATGTGGAAGTTATGTAGAGCAGGATTAATTAATGTGCAAATTTTCATGTCTCCATTCACTAGAAATGGGTCAGGACAAATCTTTAGTGCCTCTTATATGTTAAAGTTTGAAAACTGTTTAGTTTAACACAGGACAGAAAATTATCAAGTTTTGATTTCAACTCCTTTTGTTACTTATTCATCTGATACAGAATCTCTAATGATAGATCCATGGATTAGTTCACAAAAGTTTACAGATAGTTTAAACTTTCAGATTAAAACTTGGTTGCTTGATTGACTTTTACAAAATGTCAACTCTTGTTAGCTTATTTAATGTCAATTTTTGTATGGGACACCCAGTGAGGATCAAACTCACTACTCAGTAGTAATGGTCAACCAGATTATGATCAAAATTTATCAAGCTATAAAATTCAATATTGTTACAAATTAAATATAAAAATAACACAGGAAAATAATGAAATTATGTTAAAGGTAAAAATTATTTCAAATAAAACATTTTGATGAGTTCAAATTTGAAAAAGTAAACTTAAGCATGCTCTAAAACAAATTCCAAATGCAATGGTAATTGTACCTTTATTCTCAAGATAGTGAGATTCATACAACCAGACAAACTTCTGTATTCTGTTAATACAAGGTCCATTTCAAATGCTTGTGTTCCAACTAAAAATTCATTCAATAACAGACATCAGTTAACATAGGTATGCTGATTAGCCTGTGGCTACACAATTCCATGCAACAAGGATTTTCTGTGTGTTGTAAAGCTTAAATATAGATATTTGTGCTATAGCAGCTCTTCTGTTGGCTCAGACTTAATTGGAAAGCATTAATGAGACTTGCCTTGTTGGCAGCTGGTGATTTCTCTCCTCTGACCACTGCCAACTGATACTCACCACAACTGAAGGTGAGTTCCCCAGAAGTTGTGCTGTTTTGAAACACTGACCTAGGCTTCTGGTCATTGTTACAAAATAGTAGCTGTTTGTCTTGTCATATGCTGCTCATCAGTGTAATTAGAAGAAAAATTCCAACTATTACTGCTTGCATATAGATAAATAATGAGCATATTGTAAGGTTACAATAAAAGTAATCTATTTTCACTATATACACAATCTCACATGAAAATAAAAAGCTAGAAAGCATTAGCTAAAAAGAAAAATGAAAATTAGATATAAAATAACAAATATAAAATTTTGCTTTAATAAATACCTGCATTGGGGGTAGTGTGACATAAATTATCATACTTTTATGACATTTTACAAAAATGAATAATAATATATCAAATACAATTTTTTACTGAAATATTTAACATAGTGAAGTAAAATAAGGAAATTTGAACAAAACTATTCAATGAAGAAAACTATTTGTCAATGAATTTTATGTATTGTATTCATGGGTGTTGTAAAGAAAAACAGGCAAACCTTTAATTAAAAGAAAAATCTTGTAATTCCAATGAACGATTTATTTTTTATGGAAATATTTCGGCTGCTAGCCGAAATATTTCCATAAAAAATAAATCGTTCATTGGAATTACAAGATTTTTCTTTTAATTATGCAACTATCAACAGAGACAAGCATCCTAACTTTGAGACAAACCTTTAAGCTTGTAAAGATGCTTTATTCAATGACATTTGATCACCACTCATATGTGAGGATCAACTATTAGTTTTATAGTAGAGTAGTTTGAGGGGGAGACAATTATGGTTGCTTTCACCACATTCTCCTCCACTAAATTTAATTTAAAGATGACGACTGGACTTTTTGCAAATCAGTCAGGGACGTCATGGTACATCCTGGTCAAGGAATTCAAACCCTGCAGGAGTTGTTACCTGGAAGTATTTTGTCTTAACTCTTTTTTGTTTTCTACTGTCAGAGCTTGGATGCTCTTGCTTTTGTTGAGCTGATCTGGTGTCAATATGAGAGTCATTCCAATCTTTTTGGTTTTGCTCTTCTGAAGAATCTACAGGTACCATATTGTTGGTGC